CGTTTTCGAGAAGTTCCCTTGTAAAATTTACAACCAGGTGATCGCGAACCGCAAAAATATTGTAGTGGAGATTAAATTCCATATCGTCGATTTTCACACTAAGCTCTCTCTCTCTCTCTCTCTCTCTCTCCTTCGAACCCCGGGTGGTTCGCGGTCGCGATTTTCCTCGGCCGGCGCTCGCGCAACCATCGCGATACCAATTTATTCATAATATACTGTCGATCCCATTGCGGGGGAGAAATGAATTTCTCATTCCGCCGTGAGAGAGAACCGTCGACGATGCCTCGTAATGCGGGCCCTCGGGTAACCGTCAAGAAAAGTTTTTAATGCGCTTTAATTTCCCGAAAGAAAACCGCAGCTCGCGTCCGTCTACCGTCGCATTACAGTGCCGGCAAAGCGCGATCATCTCTGCTGCTAAATGCTTTTTAATTAATCACGCGGCCGCGACATTTTACTTCCCGTTCTCCTCCGAATGCTCATCTTCACGATCATCAGCGCGGATGCGCAGCCAACGGTCGGAGCCTCCAATTTTTGGCCGCTCGCGTTTATCTTTTTTGCAAGTAACATGCGCGCTACTGGACGTAGCGCATAACATAGCGACTTTTTGCAGCCCGTCCGAGTACAAAACAGAAACGTTTGCGACGTTCCTGTTCTACTGTGTAAGTTTTAATGAGCGTTTTGTCAGAAAAGAGAAAAAAGTGAGAAAGAGAGAAAGAGAGAGAGGGAGGGGGGGGGAGAGAGAGAAAGAGAGAGCTGGAAGGAGAGACGCACCGCTCCCTGGATACAGTGAAACGTATTAATTTGTTTACCACACATGACGTCAGCCGATGAGAACTCCTCTTTTCAGGGAGTTCCCGCCTACTCGCGTCAATTATACGGCAGCGGGGTAGAAAAGCGCATTTCACCCGTTTCCGTTCGTTGTCCGTTCGTTAAATAGCCCGGGCTTAATTATCGTCGCGTCGTCGCAACGGACGTCCCCGTCACTACGTGTTCCTCCGACGTGATAGCTCGTCGCGTATCGCACGACGCGATACAGATAATCTTCGCGTTCGAAATGAATTCCGTGCTTCTTTGCACGCGAGACGTTGAAGCGCACGCAAGATGGTTCCCTCCACCCTCGACGATGGCGTCGTTTAAAGAGAAAAATGCCCCGAGGCCGGCAGGCATTCTAAAGGACATTCTTGTAATTGCTTTAATGGAGTGACATTACGATCTACCCTCTGCCACGGAGGGAAAACGAATAACCCTCTCTCTCTCTCTCTCTTGTTCTTTTTCGTCCCCGAACCTTTCGAGATTTGAAAGTCGTACGAAAGTCACATTTCGCACGAACCGTCCGTAAGTTGGCCGAACGCGTTCGAGCTTCGCCAGACCGTTGTTCGGGACGAACGACGCGAACCCCAGACAGCGAAGACGCCACTACCAGGAACGATAAGAGCAACCTCGACTACGACTCGCAGGTAAAAGAGAATGTGCAATTAGTTACGAGCAAGCGTCTGTACAGCGACGGCCAAGGAATTTACGAAATTCCCTGTCCCCCGAATTGACGACTGCCGCTGTGTAATCGCGGCGAGATAACGCAGCTCGAATTAAGGAAATTAATATTGTATGTATCGAGGTAAGAGATCGAACGAGCAGTAGAGTTATGAGATGTTATAAAACGTCGTGAATTAGGAGTGCGCAGAGGAGCAAGAAGTATCGATATTCCGTATCCACACACGGAGAAAACGGTCCGGTTGGCTGACACAGAAATCGGCGGTGCCAATCAGATTTGATAGTAAAATATGGAACAACTACTCGTCGATCTTTTAAAAATTTGATCCTTCGGCGAATTAATTGCACCGTCAGTCACATCCGGGACTCTCATACCTCCTCACCTCTCCTACAGAACGATCGGTTATTCCGCTCGAGTTTCAGCCGAGTCGCGCTTTAAAGGCCCTCTTAAACTTCGCCTCCGCCGTAAAGCAACTTTAACGAATCGCCGAGCAGCCACGGAATCTGACGACGACGACCCTACCCCCCTTCCTTCCCGGCATTGAAGCGCAGCGGAATACACGGCGTTTCTCTTTTAACCGATGTCCCGCGTAATTGAATTTTCGCCCCGGAGTTACGCGATTTTTCCGCTCGTACCTGCCCGCGGCGCGCAACTGCGTTCTACATCCGTGAGAACATCTCGTGAACGTGAGAAAGGTCTTAATACCGTTCCACAATAACGTAATGTATGCAATAAGCATAGTAAACTAATTGACCGACCACAGCCGATTATTCTCGAACCGTAAGAATGCAATTGGTCAATTAGCTCGCTGCTTACGTCTTACTACATATTTCACGCTGTGGTAAAACGACCTTTGGATGTGCAACGCTGTGGATTCCGCTGCACGACGATTTGATGTTTCGCAGCCTTTTACGTAAACTTACGGAGAGATTTCTTTACGATGCGGAATAAATGTTCTTGCGACTGCATTCTCACGACAGTTACGGCTCGTGGTCTAGAAAGCTTTCTTGCGGGGAAAAACACAGCACGCTCGCGACGATTGGGGGACGGGGGAGAATAAGTACCGACGCGAGCATACGTCGGGGATTTTTCGCTTTCGGAGTTGTTGCGGGGTGTGTTGAATTATCGTTACGCTACGGAAAATTTATACGGTAAAAGATTTTATGTAACGGTCCACTGAAATTTTTGTGCTATTTTAACACGGGATATTAACCCTTTGCACTCGAGGGCTCCGGAGCGGAGCCATTTAAAATTTGTCTTCAAACTCGAGGGCTCCGCTATGGAGACAATGCAAATAACTTTCAGTTCATAACATAAGGACAAAGACAAATCGTAAAAACTATTGTGTATAGGATATTCCGCTCTTGCTATTTGCATTGTCTCCATAGCGGAGCCCTCGAGTTTGAAGACAAATTTTAAATGGCTCCGCTCCGGAACCCTCGAGTGCAAAGGGTTAAAATATACGCAATATATACGGAATATATTAAAAACTATGTGTAAAATTAATTAGTGCTCACCTTGTGAGCACATTATTTTTTAATATATTCACCTTGTTAAGGTAACATGAAAATTTCAATGGACCGTTATTAACATAAATTTTTTTACTGTGTATAGACGTGTTAAATGCGAAGTTAAAAATACAGTAACAATCACCTGGCAGTGCTTTATGACGGCTGTAAAAAAGTTTTTGCTTTAGGATTATCTTGAGAATTTTATGTTGCGCGGCCCTTCGGAAAAATATCTGAAACTTTCAGCAGATTTATATCCCAACTTCGCGAAGGGGCTATTTTCTACCGTAGACTCGCGGATTTCCGAGCTAATTAATTATTTTACACGGTACTTTACGCGTTGCTGGTAAGTAGATTTATCGTATAAATATGTACGTTTCACTCGTGCGTTCTGAAGCACTCTTGTCGCTTTCGGCATTCCCTTCGCATGCAAAAACCATGCAAAACCATGCCATTTTTAAAAATGATAAAGCAGAGTCTGACGGTTCCTGTGCATCTCTGAGCGACAGGGAGACATGCAAAATTACACGACAATGTGCGGGTGGACGGCGATAAAAATGAAGCGTAATGGGTGCGGACAATCAACTTCCTCGAGACGCGACTCTAGTTTCCCGACTTTTGACAAGTTCATTTACTACGACCGGTCGCCGATGATCAGCCTGCAGGCGAAAGCAGGATAAGGAGAATTAGCATAACCGTGACGACCGAGACGCATCGGAACCTGTTGCGGCGATAGGAAAGCCTTTCGCAGGAAGTCCGACTCGCGAAATAGTCCATGAGAAGAAAGAGAGAGAGAGAGAGAGAGAGAAAGAAGTGGAAAGAGAGAAGGAGAGAAAGAAAGAGAAAGTAAGTTTCGCGTAGCGTAAGTTTCGAAAAAGTCGCGAAACTCGGGTAAACTCGCGAAAAAATACGAACTGCCGGTGGAAATTCACCGTCGAATCGATAAACTCCGCCCCCAATTCCAATAACTCTGTTCGATTTTTCTCGGTCGGTGAAGTCACAATTTTTCTTTTCCCCGCACGATCGCATAGACGCGGCACAATCCATATATAGCATATAATTTTGACCGCGGAAGCTATTTCGCCGATCGATTTTTCGGACGGATCGATACACTTTCCTCTCAGTATGTCCCCGACACGTCGAATTTTACGTTGGCTTCTTACGCAACGACGATGTGCGTGTGCGTGTATGATTCGCAGCCGCTTCACGATACCAACCACCGGCGGCTATCTCATCCGTCACTATCAGCTGCGTAAGATCACAAAACAACTGTGTGAACGTGTATAATTAGCACATGTGTATATATATGTGTGTGTGTGTAAGAGAGAGAGAGAAAGAGAGAGAGGAACGATCTTTCTCACTTCGAGGCACAATCTGGTGGTTTCGTCACTTAATGAGCTCGTTCTCGCCGGACCCGACGTCTTCGTCGTAACGTCTCTCCTCCGGTCTTCTTCACCCACTCTCTCTCTCTCTCTCTCTCGAATTTAAGGGCGACCCGAGATCGCTCCCCGCACGCGTCGGGACACACGGAGGACACGGGAGATACCGCGAAATCTCATGCCGGTCGCTTCTCACATCTCTGTCACTGCGATACTCGCGCGAACGTGGACATACGGCACTGGGAGCACCGCTTTTCCGCTCGTGTTTCTCAATCTCCTGGAGCATTGTATTCTTCATGTCAATGTAAACGTATACATGTAACAACACAAAGAGAGTAAGAGAGAGAGAGGCGGGGTGTCGTGACGAGAAGAGAAGGAGGATGACGAGAAGGGGGAGAAAAAGGGGGATGGGATAGGGTAAGGTTGAGCGAGAGCTCCGTTGACAGAGAGAAAGAGAGGGGGGAGAAGGGGGAGGGGGGGCAGGTAGAGGAACGACTGACTCATGCTGCGCTGTCTTTCGTGCTGACGAAATGTGAACCAACAACAGAAAAATGCCGTCGACACTCATCATGCACAGGTGGGACTATCATTTGTAGTGTATATATATATATATATATTCACGGTTGCCGGCGGTCCTGCGGTAAACGGGGTGGTAGTGTCTGGGTACATCGTCGCTCACCTGGGGTAGAATCATGACGTGCGGCAGCTGGCGCGCCTCGCCGCGCACTGACTCTCCCGCACCCCGAGCGAAGTTCTCATCGCGCGCGCCCCAGCCGAATCCACCCCCCACCAACCCTCTCAGCATCCACCACCCTTGTGCAACTACCATGTACACGTCGCTGTCGTTCCCTCCCTCTCTCTCTTTCGCCCTTTCTATCTCTCTCCCTCTCTCTCATTCTCTCTTTCTCTCTCTCCTTCTGTCTCACCTTCTTTTTCTGTCGGGAGGGAAAAAAAGAGCCTTGGGGGTGAAGCGGCTGCGAGATGTCGGGCGAGACATACGCCGCGGTCGCTGCGCGAAGGACGACTATAATTGCCGTTCTTTCGAGATGCTCGCTTATTAACGCGTTCGACTGAGTAGTGCCGCTTATAAAGGGCGATTTAGTCGTCAAAGTGTAGATTCTGGGGTAAAGCGAGAGGGACTGTGCGACGGATAAGAATGACGGAGGTTTTGCGTACAAGTCCGACGCGCCCATATGCTTCCATTCATTTTCGCGTATACCTTCACCTTGTGCGACAGCATTTACAATTCACCGCAACCAAGAAGACAAATTTTGCGGGGAAAAAATCGGTATTTTCTCGGCGAAGTTTCCAAGTGTCCCCTTGAATGCGCGATCGTGGCACGGAGCTTGAGCGTGAAACAACGTTTCTTCTCGGATTCTTTCGCGAAACACGGACCTCAAAAATCCTTCCCCCGATATCGTTGCGCAAGAAGCTCCGAAGATCCGGTGGGTTCTTTTCCCCGTAATTTCTCCCCTAACAATCGTGGATCGGTAGATTAAAGATGTATGCTGGTGTCATAAATAACCGCACACCCGACAAATACAGTTCTTAACCGAAGGGATGAGCTCTGCCGCTCTTATCGCGTCGCTTGAAGAATCGCCCACGTGACAAAAAAACAGAGCAGCGGGCCGCGCGCGGAACGATAAAACGCATAATTTTGAATTCATTGCGGAGCCCCGACGTTATACGCGCGGGCGATCCATCACTCCTCGCGAACGGAACGATTCCAACGTTGGATGAGTGGTCGGGTGTGGGCGGGAAGCCGAGAAACGCGTCCCGGTAGGCTCGACGCGCCGGAATTTTTCAACGCCGTTTCAACCTCGAGCGATAATAAGCTCTCGCTCGCGGGAAATTATTGCGATTGCGTTAAAACTGGGCGGGAAGTGTGCGCGAATCGACGCCGGAGGCGCAAACAGCTCGATAATTCATGCGCGCCGCGGCTGTTAATCTCGCCGAAGCGCCGTCGTTCTCGAGATGCGTGCGTGCAACATAAATCCGCGTCTTCGAGGTAAATCTCCGCAACGTCACGTCGGGTTTGCTTTCACGCAAAAAGTGCGGATTGCCCTCTGGCCGTCGAATGCGCGACTCTACGCGCCGATAAATAAATAGACTCTCTCTCTCTCTCTCTCTCTATCCTCCTTTCTCCCTTTCTTTTTCTCGTCGTCGTGCATCGCGTAAAAAGCTGATGTATTTCCCCTGTAGTTTCGGCGAAAAAGAGAGAAAGAGAAAGAGGGAAAGAGAGAAAAGCGAAAGGTAGCGCCCTTGATAGCCGGGCACGAGCGATTCGTCGATTCGTCGAGCGCGTTACGATTACAAAACGAGACAATAAGCCTTTGGAAGAGTGTCGAGGCCGCGTCGCACGGCGACCCTTCGTCGTTCGATCAAAGATCCTCGTCGCAGCCCGAAAGCCTCTTCGTGGGTGGGTATTACCGAAAAAACGGACCGGCGCTTCGGAGGGAAAAAGGGTTCGTCTATCTCTCTCTCTCTCTCTCTCTCTTTCTCTGTCAAACCACTTCGTGAGCTATGAATAGATATTGGAAGCGTATTCTCCGTGTAGAAGCGCCGCTGGTGATCGCGAGACATCGATCCGGAACCGGCAGAGGCGCAAACCCACCGCCCGCAGTCATTCGGAATTTGCATGTCTTAACGTCGAACATCTCCGTCAAAGCGTTCGTTTAACCGTCCTCGAGCCAGTCGAAAATGTCGGAATTTGTTGACGAACGAGCACGGAAAAAAAAGACCATAAATGTTTTCCTTCAACCAAAATGCATATGGTTGTTCCCTTTTTGATTGATATGATGAAACTTTTCTTCCGTGTGCAATTTTACATCTTGAACAGTTCAGAGCTGTTGGAACAAAATAGTGCGTCGACGTTGGTGCTATGCTCGAGTATAATTAAACACCGTCGCGAGAGAAGAGAATAATCTTCTCCGCGTTTCCTCCATGTGTATGTTGACACATTAAATAATCATAGATTAATTAAACCATAAGAAGGCTAATTAAACTGCTTGTAATTGGACCCGTGTGTGTAGAGCGGCGGTGTAGCGTAGTATCGCGATAATATCGGCGCCGCGACGAGGCAGGTGGCAGATCTTACGATAAATCAAGATTAATCGAGATTAAGGAGGAAGGGAGAGAAAGGAGCAAAGGTAGCTATCGACATCGGCCACTTTCGCGGAAAGTTCGAGCGTATAACGCAGCGACCCACGTCGAGACCGAGATATTTCTTCGGCGTATCCGCGCTCGGGGAATTAACGTGAGCTCTCGGGGCTCGGAATGTCGATAGCAGAACTAACGCCGCGAGATCAAGAGTGAAATTAGTCCGCTCGATGACCCGCGACGTTCGCGTGCGTGCACGCTCGCTCGCTCGCGAAACGTCAAGAGTACGCGCCGTCACGTTTCCTCGCCATTCAGCGCGAAATCCGTTCGGCGCACGTTCGCCTCCCGGACGGTATGTAGGTTTATGTACTTTCCTCGATACGTCAGTCCCTTCCCGTTAAATTTGGTTATACTGCACAAATCAGAACCGCTCGCGGGGTCGAGTAATCAGGAGGAAAAATCGATACGCCAAACGAACGCGCCTCAAGGCCGTCAAATATTCAGCCCGTCGGGGTCTGATTGATAATAGCGAGGCGAGCAGGATAGATATATGTGCGACAAGTTATATCTCTGCAAATGTCAGCGTTCGGCCGCTTGATTATATTGCGAGCGAGAGAGAGAGGAGATCGTGGCGTATTTTTCACTGTACAGTGAATCGTACGCCTTTCGATGATTCGATTGGAGCGTCAAGGGCCGCGACCGAGTCCGTAAAATGCAGCCATCTTTATAACGAGTTACCTTGGCGGAAATGTTCCGAGCACACGTGAATGCGCGACACGTGCGACGCTCCATCGAGAGCGATTCTCGCGCGCGATATTCCACGCCTCGGCTGGCACAATGAGACATCGCGACGCGCGGTCGGCACGCTCAAAGAGCGTCGGGCTAAAACGTGGTAACATGGAAAACCGGCGGGGAGACGAAATTTCGCCTGCCGTACTACTTTCAACGAGCTTTTCCAATCTTCGGGAACCTGGCGCGAGTGTTTTCCCGTGTTACAGTTTTCACGCTCTAAATCGTTCCGCCGCGCGCCACCGGCATCTACCAACTTCTCCTCCTCTTCCACCTCTTATTCCTCCTTCGCCGATGAAATTCTCACGTTTCTTTGAGTCTTACCGTGTGTGCACTGACGTTTCGCATTTTAGCCGGGCAAAGTAAATTCCTGGGAGAAACCGTGGTGAACGACAGCCCGATACATTGTTCGGAAATGACCCATGTCGAAAAACTGTTATCGATTTCGCATAATTTTGAGGGATTTCAGAACAGAATGCGCTGTATACTCGGAAAAAACAATTCCGTTGAGGTAACTGAATTTTCCATTGCCCGAGGGGCCAGATGAAAATCCGATTGTAGGAGCCGAAAGATTTCTTTAGGAAGTTTCTACTCGGACAATTGTTCTCAATCGAGTTTTAATGCAGCCGAATGTTTTCAGTCGTGGTAACAGAGATAAGTATCACTTCTTGTCGTCGATATCGAATTAATATCAAATTAGCGAAAACGTTCGAGCATCATCAATGTTATCAACGTCAAGAGAGGGAGGGAAAGAGTAAGAAGCAGATCACCCGTGAACCTGTTGCGCGTTCGTAACGCATGAGCATCGCTACATGAGCATCAACACAGGTACTTGATTGCGCGGTAAATTAAGGAGCCTGTCGTGGCTGAAGTAGTCAAGCTCGTAAAATGAAATTCGCGGAGGAGATTTTTGTCGCATCAATCTCGCCGGTGCTTATAACGAGACGCATAATGAGACATCGATCGATGCGTGCGTGATCGAAGGGGAACGAAAAACCTCGGAGGAGACATCGTCATCGCGGGCGGAGGTGAATATTTATTATATACGTTTGCGCGCCAGATTACACGCTTCGCTTCCTTTGACAAATCGTTCGCCGTGGGGATTGACGCGCTCGCAAATTATATCGTTGATTGATTTCGGTATTTCAGATGCGCTCCTCCAGAGAAACTCGCAGGGATATACAGGGTGTCCGGTAATTTGTAGAGCACCGCTTGTGCGCAAGTAGGATAAACTGAGCGGAAAAGTCATCTACCATTTTGCAAACAACCGCGCGAAAATTTCGAGCTATTAATGATTAAAAATGATCATGCACAGAAGCATTCGTTAATTAATAACTCAAAAATGTGCGTGTTATTTGCAAAATGGCAAAGAACTTTTCTGTTCAGATCCGGCTAAATTTACAAGTAAGATAACTATCCTAATTATGGGCTATTTAAGGTTAAAAAATAGTTTTCGTTCATTATCAAAGATTCGACAATCGGATATAAAAGGGAACAAGAAATGTCAACATCAAAACATCGGTGGTTTCTGAACGGCATCACGTGATTTCAAGTTAAGCTTCGTGAATTTCACCGGGCCATCCTGTACATACGCGACGGACGTCGCATAAATCGCAATTATCGGAAGCGGAAATAAAAAATGCAAGAAACAAGAGAAAAAAAAATATACCTGCGTTCCACATCGCGATCGCGCCACTTCGCGCCGAACGGGTATATATTTCCAAGCGGCATTTTAACGAGCCGGCTATACACGTGCGTCCTATTCTCGCGCCGGGAAATATTTTCAACGCGAAAACGCGAGCGGTGATATTAACGAGGTTACGACG